GATTCTAATCTAGTCCCTGCTTATGTCAAGGGAAATGGACTAGCAGGCAGATTTAAGAAGCTTTTGGCGACTTTTATGAAGCCGGTGGGGACCTGCTCAGATGCCGGAAATCCACAAATTCTGGATCTGTCTTCTTCAACAGCTGTGTTCCGGAGGCTTATGTCTATTGAAGAAGCTGAATACCTTGTGAAGCAATGGCAAGCAATTAAGGCTGAAGCTCTGGGGCCCACTCATGAAATTCACAGCCTCTCTGAAATCCTTGATGACTCAATGCTTGTTCAGGTATATTTAAGCTTACTTCTTTTTACATGTTCTTTTCCTTGATAATTGCAAGTTTCACTGCTTTACTGTATGGGTGTGGGTGGTTACGATTGCATGCATGATTCACAGTGGCAGGCTTTGGCTGATGCTGCAAAGGCGAGGTCTTGTTATTGGAAGTTTGTCTTGCTACAACTGTCAGTCCTTGGTGCTGAAATTATATCAGATGAAGTTGGCGGGGAGAGAGCAGAGATCGAGGCTGTCGTAGAGGAAGCGGCTGAACTTGTTAATGAATCTGAACAAAGGAACCCAAGTTATTACAGGTGAGCTGAATGAAGGGGTTATGATTACTTTTGTGGTTGCTGTTACATTATGTGGGGTGGGGAGGGGTTATGATTACCATGGCTTGTATATGATTTGTTTTCTGTTGGAGTGATTGCAGCACCTATAAAATTTGGTATGTTCTAAGAAGGCAAGAAGACGGTTCGTGGAGGTTCTGTGAAGGGGAAGTTCAAGCACCATCATAACATTGGCCTTGCCTAATAGTTGCTGCTGAATAATGCTTTTCTAACTTGGTGGGCTTTCCTCCCATCTGTAATTTTTATAGCGGAGGAGGTCCCGACTAATCGGAGATGTGGATCTAAATTTAGGGAGGTTTTTTTTTTCGCACAAGTATGAAAATGGTTTGTTTTGATAATTCTTTAGTTTTGATTATGTTAATAATTGTTTACATGTAGCTGGAATAGAATGAGCGTTGCTTTCATCATGTGTCAGATGACTCTTTTAACCATCCAACTCAAAGGACATGGAAGGAGGATCAAGTTTCCAAATTTACCATGTCATCTTGTTAAGCTAATGTAGCCGTTTATCTTTTTAAATCTTTATTTTGTATATAAATATGAACTTGTGAGGAGGTGATGAGCAACTTACAAGGAATGAGTTTATTGTAATTGTGGCATTCTTGTTCAATTTTGAACCGAGATGACACCCGACGGTAAACTCAACTCATTCTATGGATTACTTTTGATTTTCGAATATAGTACTAATAATTGACACATGCATTAAGTCAAAACTAACAGACAGATGCCTGCAAATAATGGTGTTGCTAAACAAACAAGCTAATGCTTTGATTAAAAAAACAAACAAACAACAAACAATCCAATGGGGAATACGAGGTTTAAAAGCAAAAGAAAGTGGAAGCCCGTGATGAAATCCATCATAAGATTTTATTTTCACAAATGCAACTCAGCCCACCAGAGAAGAAAGCCCAGCCCAGCTCAGCCCATATTAAACCACAGCGCCCCACCCCCACTGCCACGGGCACAGCAGAAGAAAGAAGAATCTGAGACTAAACACTGTTTCGTTCATCTAACGAGGAGAAGCCTTGAATTGAAGCATACACTATCAGCCCCCGCCAGCCAACAGAGAGCGAGCGAATCACGACGGTGTGATGGGTCGCCAAGCCGTAGCCAAGCTGATCGGTTCGATCGCATCGCGCAAACCATCTCCTTCAACGTCTTTACGTCAGCGCCGTCATTACTCCCCGGCTCCGCCCCCGCCCCCCGCCGTCTTCGTCGACAAAAACACTCGCGTCATATGCCAAGGCATCACCGGAAAGAACGGCACTTTCCACACCGAGCAAGCCATCGAATATGGCACCAAAATGGTATCTATCACTTGCACCTGTCTGTCTCTTCTCCAAATTGGTCTCTATATGTGCTCTCGCTCTCATCTGTTTTCCATTTCCGTTTGCTTTATTGAATTCTTGGTTTGCGTTTGATGCTTATGCAATGTTACTTGAAATTTCTGCTAGCGATTCAGTTACCAAATTAAGCAATAATGCGTTATACTTGTACTGCTCTGTTTATGTGTTTAGATTCATTTGCTCATCTGCTTAAACTTGTTTGTCTCTTACTAGTGAATATCAAAGGCGGCGTTTCGATTCCGTATAAGTAATTGGGAATTGAGTTCACGCTGAAATGTGAAAAAACGAGCGATATGGGTTTTATAATGCGCCAACATGCCGCTAATGCAATATATTAAGAAAACCCCCACTGTTTACTTACATGTAGCAATGGGTAACCTATTCCAATGAACTGCTATATAGGAGTGATCACAATTAACGGACTGGGTTTCAATGTGAATTTCCCAAAATAAGCTTTCTTTTAGCAATATACTTTAACCATTTTTTTTTCTTTCCTTCTTCATTGTTTAATGTGCATACGATTGTGCTGAAACAGGTGGGTGGTGTAACACCGAAGAAGGGTGGGACTGAGCATTTGGGACTTCCTGTTTTCAACTCAGTTGCAGAAGCAAAAGCTGAAACAAAGGCTAATGCCTCAGTCATATATGTTCCCCCACCATTTGCTGCTGCTGCTATTCTGGAGGCAGTGGAAGCAGAGCTGGATCTTGTTGTCTGCATTACTGAGGGGATCCCACAACATGATATGGTAGTGTTAATTTCACCAATATCTTCAAATAGGAAGGATAAGGTCACCGTGTTTTTACTTGGTAATTTGGGTTTTGAGACTTGTAAAGAACCCCTGACCATAGTTATTGAGTTTATTCATACGGCTTGGATTTTGGACTTCATTGAACTTGATCTGGGCTCTGATTATTATTTTCAGTTCACTAGTTCACTGAAAGCCTTGTTACTAATCTTGAATCTGGTCTTAACTGATTCAGGTGCGTGTCAAGGCTGCTATTAACAGGCAATCTAAAACTCGCCTCATTGGGCCAAACTGCCCTGGAATTATCAAGCCTGGTGAATGCAAAATCGGAATTATGCCTGGCTACATTCATAAACCTGGGCGCATAGGAATTGTTTCTCGATCTGGTACCCTGACCTATGAAGCGGTGAGTACTATTTTTAATCCAGGGAGACTGGGAGAGTTATCTGATTAGGCTCTACAATTTTCATATTAATTTGGTTCTTTCAGCGGATTGGATACTCTTATTATGATTCAATCGTCAGCTCTTCTTGTTTGATGTTTGGATCTTGTGGGTACCACTTCCATTTACATTTTTATTCCTTTTCCTTGTAAATCTGACTAATTTATTCCTTTTACCATGTAGGTTTTCCAAACAACTGCTGTTGGCCTTGGACAATCCACCTGTGTTGGTATTGGGGGGGATCCGTTTAATGGTACAAACTTTGTTGATTGCATTGACAGATTCCTACAAGATCCTCAAACAGAAGGTTAGGAGCTTGATTTAGTTTTTCTTCTCCTGTTGCAGTTGGTCAATTTGCAGATTGAAAGGGAGAAATGTGCATCCCTTCATGCGCTCATCTCTATATGTTTATATTGGATGTTCGTATTTATGCTATGAGCGTCTGTAAAATAATAGATTGTTTTAGGATGCTCATTTTTCCCATCACTTTTGTTGAGTCAAATAGGACATGTTGGTACGCTCTGATCCTTCAACACTTTTTAGGGGCTTTATGATAAGCATATCATGTTCCAACTACTTTGACTGGATTCTAATTTCCATGTAAGCATCAAGCTCCATGTAGTGCAAAGTCTTTTATAAGAGGATATGAAGACGTTGTCCAACTTTTTGTGGTTAATGACTCATGAGTCAAATTTCATTTAGATTCCTCATTTAAACCTATTTTCATTTTCGATTAAATTCAATTTTTTGCTACAACTGTGTGTGTTATGTCTCTCTCCATGAGTTCTCAAATTACTACTAAAGTTCATCCTTTTAGGACTTGTCTTTCATGATTTTGGATGCTCGTCCATTCTACTATTTTTGGCTTGCTGTGATTATTAAAGTGTATGTATTCTTCTTACCTTTGTCATCAGTGTGGATATTGGTGAGGTATACAAGAAAATACGTGTTGAAGTAGAGGACTAGTAATTTGAACTAATTCTAGAATGTATGTTTCAGGTATCATTCTTATAGGAGAGATTGGTGGGACTGCAGAAGAGGATGCTGCTGCATTGATTAAGGTCAGAATGTCACTATCTTTGGTTAGGGCTTTGAGTGGCCATAACCGGGGAGAAATACCTTTCTGTTGCTTCGTACCTTTCTAAGGATTTGTTGAGCCATATATTGATTTTAGTTTATGTAGATTCTCAAAGTTAGTTTCAGTAAGTACTGGTGTCTATATTTGTTGTCTGGAAATGGGTGCTCAGACTAATTCTCTGACCAATGAAACAGGAAAGTGGAACTGAGAAGCCTGTTGTTGCATTTATTGCTGGATTAACTGCTCCTCCTGGTCGTCGAATGGGTCATGCTGGAGGTATATAATTCATTACCCTCTCTCTTTCTCATTGTCTAAGGTTGAGTCTGTGGTTTTCAATATGTTATGATTGCTCGCATCTGGTTGTGCAGCTATTGTGTCAGGGGGAAAGGGTACAGCACAAGACAAAATCAAGACACTAAGGGAAGCTGGGGTTACAGTGGTGGAGTCTCCTGCGAAAATTGGGGCGGCCATGCTTGACGTCTTCAAACAAAGGGGCCTTGTGAATTAGCAGCTTGACAATGGCAGTTCACTTGCAAGCAGCTTGACAATGGCAGTTCACTTGCAATCACACCTATAATATTCTATGGCAAGATGCCGAAAACAAGATGATTGTCTCCAGTTTTTCAGCGATTATAAGTTCAACTATGAAGGAGCATTTGAATGCTCGGAGTTTTTCCTTTGTCCCATTAATTTGTTTATGAGATATGTTTTCTCATACATAATGAAGTGATTTTGAAGGGAGTCCAGAATATAAATATAAGCTCTTGCAGTTATGCAATTTATGCTAAAGCCTAAAGGTGGTTACACAGATTATGCAGGTTTGTTATAATCCAACGAACACTGTTGTAAATAACAACTTTTTATTGTCCAAAGTGATCAGAAAAAGAAGAGGTTCGTTTCTGTTCATGTAGGTTTTACATGTTGCAAGGTGTGCATATCATTGTTTTCTGATGGTCTACTCTCGGGAATTTGTTTCAACGCGCTGAGTTTGACTTTAAAGGTGGTGCAGGTTCATCAACATCTGCTAACAAGCAAAGTGATAGTAAAAATGAAACTACCTATGTTGAAGAGTATTCCCCACGTAACAAGGTTGAGGATAATTTATCAGATGAGAAAAAACAATGAATTAATGAAACTACATATGTGCAGCCTAAGATACATCTACAAGGACGGTTTAGGGGAATGGATCTCTTTAAAAAGAAATGTGAATTAGTTGTGAAGTCCACATCATATTGTAAACTTCCTATAAAAAAATAACACCAAGTCACCAACACCGAAACAAATTAGCAAATTAGCAATAAACCCCTGTTTATTAGGCATGGCTTCTATAGAATTGTTTAAACTAATTGAGACATTTTCTAGAAAGATGTTTCTTTCAAAATAACTCAAGGTTCTTGGATAATATAGTCAACAACACCCTATAGTATGTATGAGCAGCATCTTGAAACTTCCTTCGTCGTGGTGGGTCAGTGGGTGCTCGATGCTTGAGTGAGTATTGACAGACTCACTATTACAAATATAATGAGTGCAATTCTTCTAATCTAATATAATATAATATGGATCCAATTGAATTGCCAGATACAATTTGAAGATAGTGATAAATTAGCACATCTAGCACCATCTTTTAAGGAGAGGACGCTGCAGGCACGCAGATCTATACACACAACATCTTTCAAAGTTCAGAAAGTGGAAACGGAAGATAAATCTGCAGATCAATTTGTTGCCAGTAGCAGCCCGTACATGAGGAACTCATATGATCATGATAGTGATACAACACCAGAAAGGCAAAGGCAGGCATCTCCTCTATCTGAACCTATCAGTCCATCTGCACATTCATCTTCCTCTTCCTCCTCCAAAACCACCTCCACCTGTACGTCTCCTCTGTGTCTCTGTACTGTATGCGTGTTTGTTTTGTTAGTGCACATAGTTACTATTTGGGTTAATATTTGAACATTGAATTTAAATGAAGAAAAGTTCAAGGGTGCCGGAGATTTGCCCGAAACCCAGCATCAAGCTCAGAAGTCTTCTCAGCCAAATACAAGTCACGTGCTTACTATTGAAGTGACAAGCGATGGAGACTAACCTACTACCAGCTAAAGAACACTTTCTAGTGGCATTTCAAGTAAAAAGTTGATAACTCACTAGCCTTCAAATGCTTTCGGGCAAGAGTAAAGTTTAACAATCGGGCTACTTTGTCTATAAAAGGAAGAAGCGACCCCAGATATAAGGACACTCAACCAATCAAACAAACAAACATACAAACTCTGCTCTCAACCTAGATTTGCATCCAAAAACTATAATCAGCACAAATCTCATATCTTTTTAACAACAAGCTATCTCTTGTTTAGATCTTTTTAGAAAGCCTATCTTTCTCTAGTTTAAAAGCTCTACTACCTCCCTTAGTGGCGTATTATCGATTCCCTCGTGTAAACCTGTTTACCATCTATCCATTTCCAGCATACAAACCTCTGTAAACTCAAAGATAAATGGCTGCAAGAGGTTCAACCTTGACATACAAGGTGAAATCTTGCCCGACTTCCTTGTGTTTGTACTTACATTTATAGATCTATTACTTAATGCATTCTCCAGTATGTGTTCAAGTTATTTCCATTAGTTTTCCTACTTCGAGAACACCATTTGTAGTTGGATCTGGTTAGTTTAATGGATATGTCATCGTTAAAACCAACCAAGAACCAAGTAAATGGCTTAAAGCGCTTTGAACTCCCTTCATACGAACATACAAGACTATGAACTAAAAGTCCTTGGTCACAAGGCAAGAAAAAGAACTTAATGTTGACTTAACTTATCCACGACAATCATTTGATAACAAGAAGTCCGAATAACTTGGGACGCAAGTAATTGACTAAAACACACTTGTTCTACATCTGCTATACTGAGATAGCAGTGGCACACCTAACACTTAGTTAGTTTTGATTGCGAACCTCAAGGCCTACATCTAAGGCCCCACAAAGACATCTTTCAAAACTAACTCTATCCTTTAGCACATCGACAAGCAAAAGCCTGACTATACATCTAAAGTGTCAATCCCTTGGGGAGCTGTGCTAAGATGCTCAAGACCCTTCCCCATGGAAATCTTCACGTACCGATGATTGTATATGTATAAATTTTTGCAAGTACAAATGGAGATGATTCGAGGAAAGGCCTCAACCAAATGGAGATGATCACGACGAGAGTCAGTCCGTCTTTTTAATTCATCTCCTCCTCCTGTCCTCCTATTACAACCTAAATATGCTATAGAATCAATCATAGATGATATATATGTTTATACTTACATGTGTGAATAAATTGGAATTGGAATTGGAATTGCAGTGAAACTTGGGCACAAGCTATCAGAAACAGTGAAGGGGAAATTGAGTTTGGGAGCAAGAATCAGTCAAAAGGGTGGGAGGGCCAATATTTTCAAACAGATATTCGGCATTAGCCAAGGAGAAGAGCTCTTGAAGGCCTCCCAGTGCTACTTATCTACCACCGCCGGTCCCATTCCTGGCCTCCTTTTCATTTCCCAAAAGCTTGCTTTATGCAGCGAAACACCTATCACTCTCCCTTCTCCTTCTGCTCCTTATGCTGCTGCTATTGCTGGACAACTACAACTCCTCAGAACGCATTACAAGGTTCAGATACCAATAAGGAAGATCAAAACAGCAAACCAAAGCGAGGATGTCAACAAACCACAGCACAAGTACATATTTACCCATGATGATTTCGATTTCTGGTTTATGGGATTCTTGCGCTACGATGAAGCTTTCAGAAATCTTCACAAGGCCCTTTCCATCGCCAACCATAACCACAACTAGAAAATGCGGGCAGCACATTAGCTTCCATGTTTATTTTCCTCAAGGTTTTAGTTTTACCCTTTTTCTACTTGGGTTTCTTATATCAATCATGTCAAATTCATCCATTATTCTTCATGGGGAAATGGATCGTTTGTTCTTTTTTTTTTTTTTTTTTTTTATCAAACTAAATTACTTTCGTTAAAAAAGGCAAGTACAAAAAAAAAGGGGTCGAAGGCAACCCACTACCTAAATACAAGCCTAATAGCAAAAAAAGAAAATACAGTAGGTAGACCCAAAAGCCGCCAGCTAAACAACAACAAAAAAACCCTAAGACAATAGCCACTAGATACACCTTCATCGCAAGGCCACCACTACCACCAAGAAAGCAAACCAACGAAACAAATGGATCAACGGAAAATAGGGGTGAGCAAGCCACCCGTGCAGGAAGCACTCATCCTACCAAATAGTGCAAAAAACACTTTGATAGCTACCCAACACCCGAGAAGAAGCACATGGCTCACTTTGGTCATTATCCATACACACGGCGACATGACATCAATTCACCATACAAACGTCATAACCAGAGTTATTAATTTTCATTCGCAGTTATCTAAATATTATATCTTTAAAAATTTATTTGAAGATTGTTTAGTCTAGGTGTCAAACAAATCAATGATTATTATAACAAATAACATTCCCATGACTGTAATGAGCCAATCAGTCTAGGTGCCGAACTACGCATTGTTATTCATGTTGTATCTTTAGCTTGGGATAAAGGTTGGCATTCTTTATGGATTGAATGTGACTCATCACTGGTTGTTCATCTTCTTTCTTCATCCTCAACTTCCTTGACATCTATCCCTTGGAGGCTTTTGGTCAGTTGGCATAACTGTCGAGTTTTACTATCCTCCATGCATGTTCAGATTTCTCATATTTTTAGAGAGGGTAATCAAGTTGCTAATTGTTTGGCCAATTATGGTGTTGATCACCCGGTGTCCATTGGTGGGATTCATGCCCTCCTTGTGCTGCAGCTGCTTATTCTCACAACCTTTCTAAGCTTCCTTGATATAGGTTCTGCTAAAAGAGGTTTTGAATTGTTGTTATGAATTCTTTAATGGTCTGGGTTTGGCCTCATGTCCCCCCTGACATATTGTATTTTTCTTGTTTATCAATAAATTATCCTCAAAGTCTCTTCCCATGATAGCAATGCTGGAGTGGGACGGACTTTGCGGCCAAATTGAAAAAAAAAAATCAGTGTCCTTTTCAAAATATGTTGTATAAACAGTTTTACAAAAGGCAATTGAGACTGGGAGTACGCATGGCACTGGCAGGCACGGCACGCAACGGACTCCGGCGACAATGCAAGTTTATCGTTTTTCCGATGGGCCAACAACATCACCTGAGTCCCGTAGACAACCAATTTGGATTTGGTTTTCGGTATATTTCCCACCCCTTGCCGTGTGAGAAAAGACAGAAACACGGTTGTCTTAATAAGTTTTGACAGAGAGACAGTGAAACCTTTGAGATGGTTTTTACAGTGGACGATGGAGGTGATGTGAATTTACACAGAAAATAAAATGAAAGATCGAGAAAGATATCAACATATGGACTCCCACACACGACTCCCAACTGTTGCCGTGTGTTTTTAGAGCATCTGTAGTGAAGTCTTTAAATATGGACAACCATTATATAAAATGAGTATAAAATAAATATAGAGACACAATAAACCTCGACTAAATCGGAAAGTGAGTTCCTAAAGTATAAGTAATCACTGGATATATTGTGTATGTCCCCACATACAGGGACTGTATAGAGATAACTTTGAGTAGACAAAGTAGCCCACAATCTTGATTGAAGCTTTTAATGCTTTTAATGTTAATGTTTTTAATTAATTAAAAAAATATGCTGGAAAACGGGGCGTATAATCTTGATTGAAGATTTTAATGCTTTTAATTAATTAAAAATGGTTAACATAAACAAAAAATGTGAACCTAATCAAACTATCACATAAAGTTTTAAAAGTTCTAAATTTAGGAATTCTACTATAAGGACTCTCCCATTAGAAGTAATATTCCTTTAAAGACATAAAAATTTCCTTTAAATCTTTAAATAAGGACTCAAAAATAATGAAGAGGGTCTCTAAATAAGAACTTCCATCAAAGATGTTGGCCCTTTAAAGTCAGAGAGTATTGATGAAAGCATTGCTTAATATGCAAATTCATCAATTGCTCGATGCAAAACTGCTATAGGTGTTTTCAGTTAACGACGAAAGCTTTGCATATCTTGATCAATCCTCATTCTTGATACCCCTAACATGTGCATAAACATGTATCCTAGAGCACAGGGACTTTGTGTCATATTCACTGTTCTAAAGATTTTCGACTAGATGTTAAGGAGTTAATCATCGTTCCGATTACTTTTAGGGCGTTTGAAAATTATGAAATGACACCTAAATCTTTCCAAGCACCACGCCTGACTTGCATAAACCCACCTAAGTCGTGACTCTCACTTCAACAAAAAATAAATAACTTTCAATTTGCATTTTATTTTTTCAATAAATTATAAGAGACTTGTTGAATACTTGGAAAAACACTCCTTAGATGGTTGTTTCCTATGTTTTTAATATGTTTTAGTTCTTTATAATTTATAATGTCATTCTATTTAGCAATTTATGCATCACAATGCAATTACTGTTTTTCTAAGTATAAGTATACATTTATTTATTTCTTATATAATAAGTTTAAGGATTAAGTACCAAATATAATCAAAATGTCACATTTGTTAAGCCCCAATTGAATTTTGTTAAATTAACTGAGGCTTACTTTGGATCCATTTCTAATTCAATTCAATACTCTTTTGATCATTGGTTTCCATATTATATAATTTAGGGTAAAGTACAAAAAATTACCTCAACTATTAATGTCACGATACTTTCATACCTCATTTTATGAATTTGTGCCAATATCATACCTTCCGTTAGCTTGGCATGAATTTCTCAGTTAAATGCTGACGTGGCTTGATCAGGGACCCATTTTTATTAAAAAATTATTAAAAACTAAAAAAAAATCATTTAATATTTTTAAAATATTAAAATAAAAAAATAAAAAAATAAAAAATAAAAAAAACCAACAATCAGTTCGTCCCCTTCCCCCCTTCTCTCTCTTCTCCCCATCTTCTCTTCTTCCCCCTTCCTGCAACTTCAACCCAGAAAAAAAAAAAAAAAAAAAAAAAACCAATTTGTCTTCCCCACCACCTCTTCTCCCCGCACCCACACTCCGCACCCAACTTCCCCACCTTCCCACCCACCCTCTGCACCCAACCTCGCACCCACTACCTGCAACCCAAAAAAAAAAAAAACCCAGATCTCGTTGAGGTGGAATAACAAAAATGGGGGGAATGGATGTGGAGGGAAGAGGGTGGGTACGCCGCGGCCGGGGGGGGGGGGACAGACATTTTTTTTTCCTTCTCTCTCTTCTTCTTCTGCAGGTTGGGTGGGGGACGGACGATTTCCATTTTTTTTTTCCTTTTCTTCTTCTTCTTCCTCCTCCTCCTTCTTTCTGGGTTGCAGGGGATTGGGGGGACGAACAGAATTTGGTTTGGGTTTTTTTTTTTTTTTTTCTTCTTCTTCTTCTTTCTGGGTTTGTTAAGGGCGTGACGAACTGGATTGGGTTTTTTTTTTTTGTTTTTTTTTTTCTTATTCTTCCTCCTCCTTCTTTCTGGGTTGCAGGAAGATGAGGAAGAGAGAGAGGGGGAGGGACGACTTAGAGAGAGAGAGAGTTTAAAAAATTTATTTTTTTAATTTTTAATTATTAAAAATATATTTAATTATTAGTGAGTGGATCTGCATGTAGCCACGTCAGCACTTAACAAAAAAATTGACGGATGTATGACATTGGCACAAATTCATAAGACGAGGTATGACATTGTCAATTTTAAAAGATGAGGTATGAAAGTGTCGTGACGCCAATAGTTAAGGTAGATTTTTGTACTTTACCTATAATTTATGTTTAAAATTTAGATTGCGAGACAACTAATATTAATGTTGATCATTATATACCCAATTGGTGAATTTTAAATATAAAGGTTAGGATGGAGTTTCAATGGTCGTAGATTGCATTCCGAAGTAACAGGAGCTTTTCCAATCTTCATTTTTGTTTTTCTTTTTATTTGGAAATTTATTTATTTGTTTTTATTTTTCACCTTCATGTCCTTTTAAGTTACTTTATTATTTGTGTTCAGATGGGGGGCTTTAAGGCTCCGGGTCCGGATGGTTTTCAGGGGATTTTCTATCGGTCTTTCTGGGATAATATTGAGGAGGATGTCAACCACTTAATTCAATCCCTTATTCATGATTCGGTCTGCCCGGCGCTGCTCAATAGTACCCATATTATGTTGATTCCCAAGGTTCAGCATCCTGAGTCTGTGTCTCATTTTCGGCCTATAAGTCTCTGCAACTTCTCTTATAAGGTCCTCTCCAAAGTTTTAGCAAATAGACTGAAAGCTTTTATGCCAAAGATTATCTCCCCCTCTCAGAATGCGTTTGTGTCTGGTCGACAAATCCAAGACAATATTGGGATTGCCCATGAGGTTTTTCATTTTCTAAAAGGGCGTAAATCGAAACACAAGTTTGAAATGGGTATTAAAATTGATATGCTAAAAGCTTATGATAGGGTGGAATGGGCCTTCTTGGATTCGGTTATGGAGCGCTTGGGCTTTTGTTGTAGTTGGAGAAAGCTCATCATGGGGTGTGTGTCGTCTGTCAAATTTGCTGTTATACTTAACGGGCAACCTGGTAAGAAGTTTGCTCCGTCTAGGGGCCTTCGGCAAGGTGGCCCCCTTTCTCCGTATTTATTTTTAATGGTTGGAGAGGTTCTCTCGTGCTTGATCCAAGTGGCTGTGGAGAAGAAGTTGATTGATGGGGTGCGGTTGGGTGCCACGGGACCGGTTCTATCCCACATTTTCTTTGCCGATGATACCCTAGTTTTTATGCGGGCTGATGCAAAAAATTGTAGGCACCTTGTCAAGCTGCTTCGGGATTATTGTGATGCTTCGGGTCAGGAGGTGAATATGCAG